GGTGATCTTCTATTCTGTAAAACACGATACATTTACTGTGGTTTGTCTGCATCCTACGACTGAGTGATAATCAAAACACGTTCTTGTGTCGTTAGTCTGTTTCCTTCACCTCTTCGCCACCTCCCTCGAACACATTTATCATCACAGTCAACTTTGGGAGGGTCAAAAACAAGGCGAACACAATAGTTTAGCAGCGGAGACATTTAGCTGTAAATAGATTCCGTTCCCTGTAATCGCATTTGCACTAAACTTGTTCACTCACTACTTCCAGCTTGCAGTGATGAGACCAAAAGCATGCCTCTAAACAAGCTTTGAGGGGGCGTCGTGCTGTGCTTTGAAAAGTTTGACGGTGGGCTCTTTGGTTGGCCTTTGATTATATCCAAGAGAGAAAAAAAAGGAGAAAAATCTGTGGGAAGTTTGCCTTGCTCTTTGTGAGGATTGTTAATGCTTCCGTTTCTGCCAAGGTTGTAAGAACCCTACCTGACAGAGTGAACTGTACATTGGTCTTTGAAAGGAAATGATCAGAAGCCGACGGGGCTTTCTGTACAGTGGCTCCATGGTGAGTAGCAGACAGGAACTGTTCTGATGCACACACAGTACATGTAAGTGTTTTGCTCTTAAATTGATACATACTGTGCTTTTTCCCCTGTCTGTGGAATAAAGACCTGTTTTCTAAGAACCTATACTACTGCTATTCTGCTCTACTGGCATACCTTTTATAATGGTAGAATGTAATATCAATCAGCCATTAGCTTTGTGCCAATGGCTGATTGTTTCAATTCAATTCAATTTTATTTATATAGTGCCAAATGACAACAAAAGTCGCCTCAAAGCGCTTCATAGATACAGAGAAAAACCCAACAATCATATGACCCCCTGTGAGCACTTTGGCGACAGTGGGAAGGAAAAACTCCCTTTTAACAGGAAGAAACCTCCAGTAGAACCAGGCTCAGGGAGGGGCGGGGCCATCTGCTGCGACAAGTTGGAGCAAAAGAAGAAAAACAGGATAAAGACATGCTGTGGAAGAGAGACAGAGGTTAATAACAGATATGATAAGTGATCAAATGTTGTTTTGCACATTTATATTACATTGAATCTGCCTTGTTCTAGTTTTGTGTCAGTAACTCTACTTATGGTAGACTGTATAAAAGATATATGTAGCTTCTGGATCTGAAAAGTACCTGAAACCCGCTTTCTTTTTATTGGCCATTAGGGGGGTGCGAGGTTTGTGGTTGCAAAGTAATTTTCACTGTGTAGAGATCTCGGATAAAACAGACCTCAGCTCCCTTGCTTAACTAACTTGTAGAGATGCTAGTTTAACGTGTCATAATAATGGAATAATGGAATAATGGGATGGTACTAATGAGGTCACTCAACCCTATTCTTGATGCCAGTATGAGCAGATTTGAAGGTGTTTCATGTGCTGTGATTTGGCAACATTTGTAAGCCAGAGCCTGAGATGTATCACTGAGAGCACAACGCTCCTTCAAAACTTCTTAATAAGCATGCCATTACTCCCTGTTCCATTGTGTTGTGATGTAGGTAGGTCTTACTCATCAAACTGTTGAGCATTTTAGGGTAACTATTGTGTAAATTTGGTACTTGCTAGTTAGCCGAGTAAGTTAGGAGCTGAGATATGCAAGCTAGGCTAACTGGCTCTTTTTTAGAAGATGGTCTTCGGAAAAAGAGAGCTTGCTAGTTGTAGATTCCAAATGTTGGCACCAAATCTAAGTAGAGTCATTTCGTGTCATTTGAACACCTGTTCAGTTATCAGGAAGAAAGGAGAAATCATGTTTAGAGTTACAAATTAAGAAAATATTGCTCCATTTTTGGCTTTCTGACACGGGATACTTTGGATATGTTCATGGAAGTTTTCCTTCCCACTGTTACCAAGTGCTTGTCCAAAGGCGGTCATGTGATTGTTAAGTTTTCTCTTTATTATTGTATTTTTTTTAAAGTTTTGATATATAAATAGAATCTAATTGAATGTCCTTTTTGCTAAAGTATTTGGCTGCACAGAGCCTAAGATGGCTGAGCGGTTTGCAGCCTACACAAACATACTCCGATTCAGCCCTCCAAAAATGCAGTTCAATTTGGATGACTTAACGCGTAGATCTAATGCCGATTGGTTGTGAAGTGGAAGGGAACAGAATTCACTACAAACAGCAGAGGTGCAAGAAGCTGCTGTTGGTGCTTTTGATTGCTTTTAAAGTCAGTTTCACTTCAGCTTTTTACCCCTCAGCTGTGAAAGGCCGATAGGGTATTGTTGTCACCCTGCCGGGTGAGCAGGCGGGCAGCGTGGACTCCCGAGTTTGTGAATGCAATAACTCGAGAACAAGGCGACGAGGGGTTTGAAATTGTTACCACAGGTATATCTACTAGGAGCCTGAGGAGTAGTATCATTGACTGCCAAGTATCTTTGTATATTATAATTTTGTTCTTTTTCACAGCCGGGAAGGACCTCCAGCACATCAACCGTAGTCTTTAGGCTGGTTGTTTGTGACACTGCAGTCTGGTGAAGTGCTTGTTTCCATCAAGGTTAAATATAGTAGCTGCAGTGTCAGAACCTCATATGTGTTGGTTCAAATGTCTGTTTATCATAACTGTAAACCTGAGAATGTTAACTTTATTTAGATGAAATAGCTTTCCTAAGCCAGTTTTTACAAATGTTTTTACACTGTTCTGCTTTCTAATAAACAGCCCATCTGTCCCTCATATTTTGATTGTAGTAACAGAAAAATAGAACCCATTTAAATCCTTAGCAGCTGCCACAGAGACGAGGCTAAACGATTGTTAGTGTTCGCTTTCATGGTAGATCGTCGTGGGCAGACTGGACTGAGATGATCATATTTTAGAAGGAATTAATGATGAATATTCATTTGTTTTCCTGACAGACATAAAAAGAAAAACTGTTTTATTTGTCTTACACTGCAATTTATTGGTGCCCTAAAGGGTTAAGCTGATTCAAATTTGATTCAGCAAATGGAACACGAGGAACAACCTGACCTCCTTTTTTTAATTTTTTCTTTCTCCATTTTTACATCAGACTTATTACTACTGGCACTTTTACCCTCTACCTTAACCAAGGCACACTGTGTTGTTCATGTAACCACCAACAAAACCTGGTTTGATGTCAGACGTGATCCTGACTTACGCCCCTCTCATTAATCTCACTTTCCCGGAGCTTGATGCTTGTTAAGGTCAAAGACTGGACATTTGCTGAGGCTATATTCATTCCTATTGATCTGAAAGCAGCCAGTTGGGTAGTTTGTTGGTCCGTAGCCATTGCCATTATAAATTGAGCAGCTAATACAATAAAGGATTGATGAGCTTTTGTTATTGGTTTTTTGTTGTTGTTTTTTTTTAAATAGTGTAATATTTTTTAATTAACTTTTTGATAAAATTCATCAAAATGGAAATATTAAAATAAAAGTTTGTATGGCATTGACTGTTTGACAGTGCAACCGTCTCTCTAATTTAATTTAACAAGCCAGCAAATAAACCAATGTTAAACTGTAATCCTTATGAGAGTTATATAGGATAAACAAAGGAAGACATAAAATAAGCAGCACATAATTAGATTATTAATATTATTTTATTTTGTTTATCTTTGAACTAATACAACAGTACCTGCATCAAACATCTGATTCCAGCTTCTTTAATCCCTCCAACTTTAATCACCGTCATTACAGTACAGCATATTACCCAATTATATGGAAAAGGAAAAGTGCTTTCCAGATATAATTACATGCATAATTAGAATCTGTAGTGGATCAACCGAACAGACTAATGTACGAGGTTCTCCTTGATGATAATTTGAACAGGAATTAGTCCTTTAATAGAGCTTTTCATCATCTGAAATTTAATGGCAAACAATGAAATGTGCTAATCTTTACCTTGCTGCAGTACTCTCCAGAGATTTGGGCACCCACTACACTTATTTTCTGTTTCATGTTTTCCTTTTTGGAGGCTCACAGCTCTTAAGAAATTCTTATATATTGTATTTATCTTATATAATGTTGGTGCAGTCCCTCAGTTCTTTCACTTCCTGAAAAAAAAGCTTCCTGTAGCTCCTCATCCCCTTTAAGCCAGCTTTCATCTGATTGGCTGCTCCTCAAATTAAAAAAAAAGGTTTAGGCAGGTGATGAGTGAGGCTTCCTGAGCCAGAGCTGTGTACCTGAGATGACCATATTCGTGATAGGCTTCCTGTTTGATATTTCAGAGTCAAGAGTAGAGAGGAAAGTGTCCTGGAAGCCTTTGGCTCACAGCTGTTACAAAGACTGACCTCATTATTACCTTGCTCTTGGTCATGCTTTAATTAGCATAAAGAACTAGTAGTGCATAAGTGTGTGTGTGTGTGTGTGTGTGTGTGTGTGTGTGTGTGTGTGTGTGTGTGTGTGTGTGTGTTGGTTAGAGAGAATAGGAAAACACATAAAAATGAGCCAAAGGAAAACATAACATCTTTTGTTAATTTTTGTGGTCTTACATAAAGATCTGAAATTTAAATGAATAAAAGAAAACAACAATTCTTATCATTAAATAAATATTTAAATCCACATTTATGTGCTGCAGTCATGGGCCTTTCTCTTAGGTATTTTGTTTAGTGTCCTTTATGTCAGTGTTCTCCAGTAATGCACAATGTCTGTAGATGTGTAACTGTTCCTCCGTACCGAATCTTTGGTTGGAATTTGTTAAATGCATTTTCACTGAAAGGCTGAGGGCATAAACAGACATTCTCTCACAGCCATATTCACTAAAGATTCCCAGGATTCAGTGGAGCTTTATGTATTATTTGCCAGATGTTTCTTATAGAAATAAAGACATGTTGATTTAATTTGTATTCCGTGGAGGAAGGGAATTAATGAATCCAATTTGCACTTGAGAGGAGGCCAAAATGCAAAATGAAAAGGGTATTTGTGGCATTTACAGTGTGAATTCATGCTGCTGTTAAAGAAGATAAAAATGTGCTCACAAAGCTCCTTTTAACAAAAATATAATAGGTGGATGACATCTTAGGCGAGGAGAGCGACAACGAGAGTGAGGGCCGAGGGAAGGAGAAGCCAGGTAACGAGGAGATGGAGGATGAAGAGGAGCAGCAGCAACGGCACCAGCAGGCAGGAGCTGGACAGACGGTGGGAAGGAGACTTGGTCCTCAGGCGCTGAGCATCGATGAGAGGCTTCAGACTCCATCCAATGTGGCCAGTCAGTGTCAAAGTGTGGCAAGGTGAGGCACAGAACTTTTTATCTCTTGCCGTTTAACTCCCCCCGCTGCAGCTTTTTGGGCCTCAAACACAGGCATCGTGGGATAGAGGGAAGTCATAAAGTTATTCTAAAGTTACAACCATCTACATGCCAGATATTTACTATTACTGCCCCCCCGATGCTTGCACTCACTGTCAGTGATGCTCATCTTGCATAAACATGTCTAGGTGAGAAGTATGCTAAGCTTAAATTATAGTTTAACAAGTCCATAGGGGAATCTTGCAAAATGTACTGTATATTTTCAGGGTCTTATTTCTCCGATGACTATTAACATAACACACCACTTCATCAGCACTACTTTGCTGAAGCCAGACGGTCTGGGCCGTTGCCATGGAGACTAATTCCAAACAGACAGCAGGTGCTCGAAGAGTTCTGAACATATGAGAGTCTCTTATTGCTGAAAAACATGCCGAGTCGTCAGACTGCCAGCGTTTAATCTCACAGGACAAAGTATTTTGCTGTCTTTGGTACATTCAGAGTGTGGATTATTATGAAATTAAGCATTTCTCATTAAAATGCGCTGCAGTCTACAGAAGCATTCTGCCCAAAACTATTTTTTTGATGTATGAAAAGCCTCTCCAAGAGATGGAAATGGCAAGCATGAATTAGACCCAGACAATCTGGTTCCAGATAAGAAAAAAAAAAGTTGTAAAGGTTAAATAATACAGATATCAATCAATAATACAGATATTCCTGGATGTTACAACATGCACACATATTTTAGGATGGCAGAAAGTAATATAAAACTGCCACAGTTTAGTTTAGGGATGTTTTGGGGTTGTAAATAACCTCTGTCTAAGCATGCACCACATTTGCTAGTCCTCTAAAATAATACTACTACAGATATGAAAGTTGCATTTCATTCATCATGGAATTGTTTTATTTTTGGGATTAATTCCAACACTAAGCTATATTTCTTTCTCTTCATGTGTGCTAACATGGAGTGTGTGCATGTTAACTTGTGTAGCAAAATCCTGTATTGAGTAGATAAGGTTAGCCAATTCATTTAATCGCCTCATTGTGCTAAGTTGTAGTTAGCTGATTGCTAGCAAAAGCATATCTGTGTACAAGTTCTAACTGGCTTAAAGACTTTGACACTTATTGTGTATCATTTCAAATAGATATGTGAAATACATCTGTAGCCCGCCAGCTAACACGCAGACAGTTAGCTGAAACATGTTTTGGGTATTTTTGATGATACTGAATTTTTTTTTTTTTACATACTCAATTTTACATTTCCTTTAATGATGCATCTAATTAATATATTTTAAAATAAAATCAAAAATGCACTAGATCGCTAAAGTCAATCAGTATTCACAGTATGCCATTGCCGTGCTGTCCTAAACAAGCTAAAATTTGCAAATACAGTGTGTGGAGAGTGGCTGCAATGCACACCTGCAGTGGGGAAAATGTAAATGCATAATTTCTACATAGGAATATTGTGATAACGCACCGAGGCCCGAAACTGTGGGTTTTGTTTTTTGTTTTTTTTTTGGGTTTTCTTTAAACCTATATATGGGTGTTGATCTAACTGTGAGGCTTGAGGTGCGTCCTCCTTTCATTTCAAATATTCGTATCCTTTTGCGTTCTGAATTTCAGGACTCCTGTCATTTGTTCTATTGACTCAAATACAGCGTAGTGTTGTACTGCACCTGTTAGTGCATTTTACCTCTGCCACTCCATATGGTGCTTTTGTTGAGCACCTCTAGTACCTAATGCACCTAGCAATTGTGTATAAGTATTAAATATGTACTTCAGGCCTAAATATTTGTTGTGTTGTATATTATAAAGAAAAGATCTGCTAAGCTAAACTCCAGCTTTGACGAGGTAGACGGAGAAACTCCACAGCTTCCACCCTGAGCTCTATAGATAATAGCACTAATATTTGACCGTTGCACCTTTTTCTCAAGACTTGGGTTTCCTTGTGTAATTCCGTTTTCAGCCTCACTGCTCTGACTGTCAGAGCATAAAATTGAGTATTTTTCTACATTGCATTCACCCAGAAGCCTCTCCTTTTTTCTCCCTATGAATGGTTTTGGCTGTGGCTCAGTATCCATGGTTGCCCAGACATGTCAGTCCATCTGTCACCTGGTCCGACAACTTTGGTTGCCGCTAATGAGTGAAGCCTGAAACGCACTGTCCACAGTGTTGTTTACTGGTTGTTGAAAACCTTTGCAAGTCCACCTCCAGTCTGTGCGGTGGTGCAGAGGAGCAGCACACGATTAAACAGCCTGACACACAAGGGGAAGGGGTGTAAATTTGATTCTGAAAGCAGTGTGGACTGAAATTGGCTGGTAGGTGTTTGGTTCCTTCCATGAAAAGACACCAGCGACAGTCTAATAATATCACCCTGTGCTCACCACTGTGATGCTCTGACAACTGTTTCTGTTTGTAAAGAATATTCAGCTCACAGGTTTTTGTTGTATGAGGTTAAAATTGCACTCTGTGCGTTTAGCTTGACTGACCACTGTTTCTCTGCAGTTTCCTCTGATATTTTACAAGTTAGCCTAGTTAGTTTTCATGTGTAACTAATAGTAAAGTACCACAAAGGAACCAGCATTGTTCTCATATACAAATCATTCACCGATTAAAACAGCACAGAACAACTTGCTGCATGCAAGAAATTAATTCGTGGCAGCTTCTGAGGGTGAAAACTGAAGCCAGCGTCTAAGTCCTGAGACATGCAGTTCTTTGACTGAACACTTGAGGCTTTCTCCAATAGTCGCGATATCTTTTGGTAAAATAACAAACTTAAAAGAAATAAAATTAATTTAGACTAAACAGAAAATGTAACTTTCACTAACAAAAACACAACAAGCCTTCATTAAGCTGTATCATCTAACCAGTCTGGTATCAGACCACGTTCACAGGTTATCTTTATATTTTAATAGAAACAGCTGGAAACGTGTTCGTCTTTCACTCTACCTGTGCTCACCGTGTCGGTAGCGGCTCCGCCTCTTTGCTCTCGCGGTGTGCAAACAGACTCTGTGTTTTTGTTTATAACTGGAGTCATGTGGGCTGAATGTTGTCAGACTTTTATTCGAACGCTGCTCCTGAATACGTTTGTATTGCAGGTCTGTATTTTGCCTCAGTTGTGGTTGAAACGCTCATGTTTCCATAGTGACAGTTGCACGCTGCAGAGCGTGCATTGACCGAAGCATCGGAGCACAGAATTAGTGTGGAGAATTTTTTATGATTGAATTATTTGAATTAGTCGATGAATCGTTGAAGCCCTACTGTTAACTAACATAAAGAGTGTGACACGTGAAATGGATGCTGACAGAGAACATAGTATGAATACGAAAAATAAGGCTTTAAATTCCCCATAAACCTGTTTAAAAATCATATAGATGTTAATAATCACTGTATGTGCAACTACGTTTGTGCAAAGTTTTATTCAGATTAGTTCATTCGTGAAGGAGGAGATGGGATACATCCAGACGTATACATACATACATACATAAATGCTACAGCTGCTACAATCATGATGGCAAGATTATTATTCTGCCTCCAATTAGTAGTTTGTAAGTTTGTAACATGTTTTTTTCTTCTATAAATCCAACAGAATAATAGTTCAGATTTGACAGTACATACGTTGAGTCTTTCTGTTAGCAGGTATTTATTTGCATGTGTAGTAGGAGGCCAAATAAAACACTTTGCATAACACCATTTCTAAAATGTCAAAGATGCAAAGCTGAGCCATTTACTAGAGAGGGGGGAAACATCCTCAGTATCCGCCTCTGACTGTCTACAAGACCCTGTTAATGTAATTTTCCTGTCTGACACAGAAAAGTATTTGATTTTATTGTTGCCCAGTGGGCCATTAGAGACAGTTTAACATTTCTAGAAGAATTCATATAGCGGCTTCCTGTTTTAGAACGGAGTAAGTGGGACCTCTGGTCCTCTGGGAGATGGCTTAATAGTTGCCATTCTGTCAGTCTCCATCCTGGCTCTTCCACTTCCTTGTATTTGGTACAAAACAGGCATACATCTGTTGCTAAGATACTGTAGTGATGCAAATGTCTCTGTTTTGTTCTTGCCATCATTCAGGATCTGCTTCAGTCTTTCTTGTTTCCATTTAAAGTGAAAACAACGCTGCTCTTATTACGGTTCTTTTCAAGCTTCCTGTTCACCAAATTTAGACAGCTAACTGCAGGTAAATAATAACGTCCTGCTTTTATCAGATTTTTTTTTTTAGAAATACACCCTGTAAAGCGGTGAATTTGCACCTACGGCGCCAGCAATTTGTTTCTTAAGAAATAAAGCAGCACTTTTTGTTCTGAGGAGCAAAGCTGACAAAAACTATCTGAGAAAATGCAGTAGATTTATTCAGTTTTGCTGTTTAGTTGCACAAATCATTCCACTTGGATGATTAGATGCTCAGTCTTTTTAAAATGCACTGAAAGATGAACAGCTTGTAAGAATCTCCATTGGGCTGATTCCACTCCCTTGTTTGTTTGTTTGCTGATTTAAAGTGCTTTATTTTGGTGAATCAGCTGTGACTCGGTGCACATTCAGGGCAGCAAGTAATGTGGCACATGCAGGGGATCAGTTGAGATTCTGCTTTGTTGACTGTGCACACAGTACATCACAGTGCATTTTATTGTCTAACTAACTGATGCAAATAGCAGCAAAACTGAAATACAGATGTGGATAAAGAAGAAGCAATAATGTAGAATCAACAGTAGACCAGTGAGTTAGTGAGATAAGTTAAATTCACTTTTGTCTGTATACAATACAACAACACTCACCTCAAGGCGCCTTATTGTAAGGTAAAGACTCTAATAATCCAGAAAAAAACTGTACAATGAGCATTTGGTGACAGCCGTCTGCTGTGAGCGAATGTGGGTGAGGGGATATTTAACTTTTAGAAGCACAATAATAAATTTAGCAATGTAGCAAAGTAACGTATAAATATTGGAACTTGGTCACAAAAGTTGTTAATCCAGACAGCTTTATGGG